TAGTAAATTAAAAAATATGAACTTGCAGCGCCAACTTATTTCCGGTCAAAGAGAGAAGACTCAATTCCTCGTGTCCACGTTTTTATCGACTGAAGCAAATTCTCCGACCCTCCAGCTGCCATGACGCTTTTACCCCTTCTTTTTAACAAAAATAGAACCGATAGAAACACTAAGCCCTTTCAATCTCTAATCAGCCGATTAATGGTAACTATCGATATCGTTCGCAAAAATATACACTAGCGTTCGGTAAAATCTCACAAAGAACATGTAGCGCATCTTAGCTCGTTATATTTTCATAATCACGCACGGCAGTTGGAGACGTGGACATTGAATTAGCGCTTATAGCCGTCTGCCGCAATTTCCGCAATTACATAGCGCAAGTTGCGAAAGTTACAAAATTAGCGCGGTCGATACGCGACCGCTCGGACTTCACCGTTAATCCTCGTTTGCGGCCGGAAAAGAGTCTGTCGAGAGTTTATTCGTTTTGTAATATCGCGTAAAACCGCAGAAATTCCGATATTATTCTATTATATCAAAACTACGGCCAGAACGTGTACGAAAGAGCGTTTAATGATCAGTTAATGTTTTCAATCACTACACCATTTTTTATTTTTTCAAAAATGAAATAATAATAGAAATTATAATAATAATAATATCTTTAAGATTCGCGAATTGCTTAACGGATCGTGTGATGAATAACCAAATTTATTATGTAATTTATGTACATATTCAATATAATTTCTTTTTTCTTTCTTTTTTTATCGAATAAGTTTTTAGGTTTGGTTGGCTTTTGACCTTGTTATTATTTAATTATAAATTTTCTTTTTTCTTTAAAAAGGATACACGTTAAAGCCAAAGAAAACAGATATATTCAGCAGAGATAATAGAATAAATTCTATATATGTGCGTGTGTGTATACATCCGAGGTTAATTAATAATTATGCAGTACAAATACATATAGTCGAAGTTTCTGGCGTTATTTTTTTATTAAAAAAATTGAAATTAAAATTTTTTAATTTATATTTTTAATTTAAATTGTATTCTAATTATGATTTTTAAGAATTACAGTTATTTAAAGTTAAACGTTAAAATATGAGCAAAAATAATATCCATTCGAACTTTTGCTGTGGAAAATTTGAAATATTTTTACTAGAAATTCTTTTAAATTTAAAAACAACGTTTTTAAGCGTGAGTCAGAGAGAGAGGTCTAAACATGAAATTAAATATTTTTTTATATACATACGAGGGTAAGTCGTCAATAAATAAGTCGCAAAACTGGATAGAGACAATAATAATCAAAGTAACTTCCTGACATTTATTTCACTTTTCGACATAATCTTTGCGACTCATTTATTGACTTACCCTTGTACATATCTTCTTGTATCTTTGTGTGAAGAATTAATTCTAAGAAAAAATCATATAAAGATTAAACAACATTGATTAAGGAAATTATTTGTGTTCGCGCCGGTCGCGCGCAGATTTCTTGTCGCATAAAATAACGCGATAGTTGTTGCAGGTCGACCGTGAGAAAAAAGAAAAATTAAACACGTGGTTGTATGCGGCGTCAATAAGGTTGCATAAGGTCGTTTATTTATAAAGACGCTTAGAAAAATACAGGGCGGAAAGAGCCACATTTATTTATAGTTTCTCGCTTGTCCGTGATTATAAATAAATGATTCAAAGTATTTCAACTTGTAATATTGCTTGTCATAACTTAAAATTTACGAGCTCTGCAAGTCTTCACTTCTCGCGTTTCGCTTTTATGATTTTATTTTATTGTAGATGAAGAAGCAGCTATATAGATGATGATACACGTCGTATTTCAAGTTATCAATTTTAGAGTGTAGCAATAATGGGATTTGACATTACACGTGTCCATTTATCTGCAATAAAAATTTTAATAATGTTAGAGAACTGTTAAGTTCTGATATATAAGATATATTATGTTGCACCGTTATTCATTTTGAAATTGAAACCGATACTTTCAGAATTTAACGGCAGACACTAGATATCTTGTATTATCTTGTATAACTATAAAACACTTGTAAAGATCGCTTCTCTTTTATTGGAATAGCAAACGTCTCCTCAGTCTTCTAAAGATAAGCGAGAACAATTGCAGAAACTAAAAGATAATGTTCATTATATAAAGTGGAAAAATAATAATGTATTTATTGAGAATAATTCAATTTAGATAAGATTTCCTAATACACTCTTTATCTGCTTTGAAATTATAAAACGATAAGAAGCTAAAAAGTTTTGCTTTAATTTAAGAGAGAACGAAAAAATACCAAGGAAAAATACTAATCAAAAGGAAATTTTCTTGAAGAGGGTTCTTTTTCCAGAGAACAGTACTTTAAAAATTTCCATAAAATATTTACGGCGACGAAATTCAGCCATTTGTCAACCGAAAACTTCCCCGCGCTGCGTAAAATGGGGATTTAAGGAGGCACAATGAAGTCCGGACGTTATACGCCACGACGTCGAGATAAAAATTTATTCTGGTCTTAGCGGGAGTTTATTCCCAGTAAACATCGAAAGACATTTTTACGTATACTTTTATTTTAAAGTAATATACAAATGCTTTTGTATACGTTTCTTACGACGGGTTTTATTTATTCCAATCAGAAAGAGCGCATGCTCTTTAATAAATTGAAATTGGCTTATTTTCAAAGCGTATAATGAAATGGTTATGTACTGTATATCAGAATTTAGATTTCTCGAAAATGTGGTGGAACCATAATTTATTAGTGCTATATAATAGAGATAAAAATACTTAAATGTTAGCTTTTACTGATAACTAATAACACACTTATATATTATGCTCGCTCAATAAATTTAAATTTCTCTCAATAGATTATTTAGTGAGAAAAAAATTCGATGTATTGGGAGAGGGGAGTTTCTTCGATTTTTATTATTTATTGTATTTCTTCATCGTAGTTTTAAATTAATTGATTTTCCAACTGATTTTAATTTGACGTTTAGATCTTATTAAAAGAATAAAGAACTAACGTAAATTTCTCTCTTTTCCGTGTTGCAGAAGGCCAGATTGGCGCGTATCAGAATCGCGAAGGCGTCGAGCGGCGCCGCCTTCGTGAACAAAAAGAAGGCAGCGGAGGCGCGTTTGGCTGCTCAGGAGAGCGGACTGCACCTGGAAGAGTTTTACAAGGAGGAGGATATCTTCGAGCTGCAGCATCATCACCTACTTCGTTGCTTGGAGAAGACCACGGTAATTACTAACGCACCTGTCTAGTAACGACTGCATGTCCGCTTTTATACGGGAAGATTCTCCTCATTCGTTAAATCGCTTTGAAATCCTTAAAATCCCACCGATAAATTAGCTTTCTTAAACAGGGTACTTTATCTTCTATTTCTCGTTCTGATAATAAAAGAACTTAGGCAATGTTCTTTCTTCTTTTGGACATCTTTTAAAGTTAACACTGTAAAGAGAGAGATGCGTAAAAAGAAAAGATTATATATATACGATTTCTTAATGAAAGAGATTTTCTTTTTAAAGTATACGTTAGTTTTGATAATAATACAAGCATTGAATATGCTATATTTGTCGCGTTGTTTTTTAGTTAGGATTCTATTAGAATTAAATAATGTTGACAAGTTACATAACTATAGTATACCGGTATGCTCATCGGTATACAATGGCAATTTTATGAAAAGAAGAATGACATCGAAAGAGATTAAAAAGAAACTTCAAGATAATATAAAGGCTGCTTGCTATCATTATGCAGAGTTTTTCGACGTTTTGCATAAAGACTGGTGCGACGAAGATGGATTAATTAGCGAAATGATAATTAATCATTTATGAATGCAATGGTTCTCTCGCCGTGAACGATGACAAAAAACTCGTACAAAAACGCAAGACTATCTTTGAGCGTCCCCGTCATTATTCCCGCGCGAAGCGCGCGATAAAGCAACTTGCATCGTCGCGAATGCATCGTCGACACTTCCGTTTCTCGAGCGCCGAGAATTCAATGGGTACTCCGCCTGGCGAAAATCCGGCAGTCTGTTTCGTAGAGTATTGCGCGCCGAGTGCAGGCGCAGAGTAATTTGAATAAACCCTAGTTTCTCCCTCTGTCTCTCCCGGACGCTCCGTGCTCCGTCTAATTTTAGCCCTGGTGAGAGGTTGGTTGCGCGAGCCGAGGGTTGGTGCCTGCCGCGTATACGGAGTGTATAATCGTTATCGAGACCGAATACCAGCGGCCAACCCTCGTTTATGGAACCGCTGTTACAGAAACTGTGCTGTTATGAAATAGTACATGCGCGGGGTGTCACAGAGATCCCCGGACTTTTCGTGCAAACGCAGATAAGAAAGCCAGACAGCAAAGTTAGATAATAAATGAGACAATAAATATCAAAATAATCTTAATATGTTTTTTAAATTAAAAGAGAAAAATGAAGTATAACTACGTTAAATGAGATAAGATAGGATTCATATAATAAAATAAGAATTTTATGCATTACGAAAAGCATTAATAAAAAAGAAAATGGAAGCTGTGCAACAGAATTAATAGGAAAATTAAATAAATTTTTTAAAGAAAACTCGATTTAGCGTATTCGTAAAAGGATTTGCAGTTGCGGAAAAGGGCACCACTTTTCCGATATATCCTATTCAGGTTACATGTATGTGTATGTTTTTGCATAGAAATGCATACAGGCTTATGCGATTAAACCAACCGCGACGTGCGATTTATACGACGTATGTAGTGACAGTGCTGGGGTTGTACGAAATATGTAATATATACGAAAGGGAGAAATTAGTTTATTACGTTGAAAATGAGAAAAGGAGGTTATGACATATAGGATATATGAATAAGGATTGTGTAGGTCCTAATTTTATATAAAATCTGTTAGCATAAAGTGATAGTTAGAAGGCTTAGTTAAAATTTTATAGTTAAAATTTAAGAAGGAGAATATAGGTAGGCGTTTAGATAACAGTAGATAAAAGACTATGCGGAATTTATACTAATTAATTTTGTTTATTTTAGTAGTTTTATCTATAAAACCTAGTTTTCTCATTTGATGATATTTCGGCTATTATTTCGTGTAATTTTAACTCGGCAACATTGAAAAAATTAACTTATGATGTGATGTTTATATAATACAATTTTATTACAAGATTACTGTGTTTACGCGAGCGTTACTTCTATAGTAACTTACGATAATTCCTCTGCGTAAACGGAGATTTGTAGTAACTTACGATAATTCACTCGTTTAGGAGTGAATTATCGTAAGTTACTACAGAAGTAACGCTCGCGTAAACGTAGTATATGCAGAAGATACACATAGCTGAAGGAAAATACAAGACAATTCACAAAGGAAAAAAAGATGAAAGAAATACTAAACTTATCAACTTTCATTTTTTTATCTTATTGTAGAAATTTAGAATTAAACAAGATATCGTTACAATAAAGTTTTGGGAAGAAATCTTTAGTTGCAATAAAATCTGTAGTGGTCTAATCATTTTTTCATTAACGCTTTTAAGCACTTTCTAGGCAGCTATTATAGTTTTGCGCGAAGCTCTCTTATATTGTCTCGTCTTTTGGTTGAAGATATGGAGCTTCGAATATTGACCTTTCCCTCATGATGGGTTTATGTGATCTGTGTACCTTGATGTTGACAGAACAAAATGATCAAATACACGAGGTAACGTGTAAAGCAGTAGCCACACTACTATAACACAAGTTGCAGGAGTACAAACAACTTTGGAAATACAAATTCAGGAACTGACTAAATAGGTCGCAACACTTACTTCGCGTAGATAAGGATAATATATGTGACGCGGAGGGAGCTTGGCGGAGGGAAGATTTTTGTTTAAAGAACAGAACACGTGACAGATAAGCAGAAGATAAAAATATTTAATAAATGATTAATTAACCAAAGATATTAAAGTTAACGTGTAACAAGAAAAAGTGGGCTTTGACAATCAAACGCGGTTAATTGTGCGTGAGTTAATGCTATGTAACATTTACTAATTAATAATTTAATGCAAATTATAAATCGTATGTTTTGAATCTACTTTGAGCCGTCTTTAGGGACGCGGTGATAGATAAATTAAATAATCTCAAGCTTTCCGACAAGCATAAGGTGCGTATTTAAAAATTGAATGTACAAAGGTATAATTTTCAAGAGGAAATTCTGCCAGAAAAATCCTGCCAACGTTCATAGTCTGCAAAATGTTCAGATTAAAAATGCAAATTGGGACCAACCGACAAAGAGAAGTGACATTCACTCACCAAACCAAGTCCAGAGAACGTGAAATTGATAAACTGAAGTTTTGAGAAAGGACGGAAAATTAGATGATTTTTTAGCAGGTGTGGTTGATATAATCATTATAATCGAAACAATGATACAATCAGAGAACAAATCTGGTTCCAAATAACACTTGGTTTATTCGGCAGTCAACCATTGACTGAGGTCAAAGACGACACAGCGTACTAACTTAGTCTTAGTACGTACGGTAAAAAGCGTCGTAGGTGAAAAGAAAAGAAGAAAAAAGGGGATTTAAATTAATAGCAATAAAGTAATAAGAAATACAGAAATAAAAATTAACCTCCAATATAAATTAAATTTAGAGAATAACTAATTGAAATGTTTACAATAAAAGAGTGAACATAAACGTGCAACGCAAAAATATTACCCGCAATAGCGTATTCGGAGGATACGCGGAACGCAAAAATGCGTTATACACAATAAGTAATGCGTGAAACGCAAAATATATTACACACAAAACGCAAAATATTACACGCAAGTTACTGTATTCCGATTATACGTGAGCCACGACAATATTACACGCAATAAACGCCAACGTAAAGATCACACTTTACGCGAAAATTCTGACGCCACACGCAAGGAGCACCGGGCGCAATAATTAGATACGTACCGAGCAAATGTAATGTATATTCTCTCACGAATATTCGACCGGTATAGGCCACGTATACTGGAATAGCAACGACGGACACGCGATCACGAAGACAAATACAAGCGACTGTTGAGCCGATATGGAGATGGACCCTTATTAATGTATACAATAAGATAGCAACGGGCGGAGTATGTCAGACCCGATAGCAAGCAACAATAATACCGGAGTATTCACGACAAAATTAGAGATCATACGCGAATCTCTCAATAACTTAACGCGCGGATCTATACCAGATCGGGCGCGTTTCTCCAAAGAATACGGTACGCGACCATCCGCCCGCGCTATTCCCCGTTACCTGAAATACTCGGGATTGCTGGCCGTTTACAAGTTTCCTCGAGTCCTCGATCTTTCTGGTCCTCGCAGAACGTCTTTCTTCGCACACGATCAACCCAACAGTGAGATCCATTGATTTAGGGCAGATTTGCAATTCAGTAAGGATCATCCAGATTTTAATGCGATTCTTATCTTTTCTCGTAGTGGTTGGGGGGGGGGGGGGGAGGCGGAGTGTTATCTTAGCCAAACCTTTGAAGTCGTCATCAAACCTAGCAATATGATGCGCGTCTGAATAAACAGTGCCAGGGGCACATTTTTTAAAAACAGAATCAGCTACTACATAAAGATTCCTTGTCAACAGCCGGCACGGTATTGGCCATGCCGGTATCACGTACGTCGCAAGAGTTGTTCACGTGATCATCGCAAGGCAATTGCTCGTACCCAGATAGCAGAATGCGTCAAGACCATTGCACGTAACAAAGTTTTAGTTTTAATCGTAAGGCCGTAAGAAAATAGACCAATCACACTCGATTATTCTTCAAGCGCGAGAAAAATAATTGACTGTGATTGGTCTATTTTCTTACGGCCTTACGATTACAACTAAATTATTGTTACGTGCAATGGCCTTCAAATGATGTTATATTGCCGTCAAAGTGACATTTCTAACGACAACAATCCGTCACTTTGACTGCACTATTACGCCACTTGACGCCACCACTCTGCTATCTGGGTATCTAAAATCTATATATACTAATATTACCGTTACTAGGCAGGGTCGCTTTATTTATTAAAAGCTCGCGGCCCCGGCCTTTCCCGGATTTTTCCGTGGAGACGGCGTCTACAACCATCTCGTCCTCAGGTGTGCGAATGTCCGTATTGATGGTCAGGTTACGCCGCTTGTATAATTCCTCGTCCCTTTGTTGTTTCAGAGTGTGACTTCGGCGACTTCTAGTCACATTATGATCTGCATCCGTCAATTCATTAATCATAAAGTTCTTTGTAATATTATCAAATTTCTG